TGCTCTCAAACTTTTTCGTTTCTTTTCATTTTCACAGTGCAGCATTGCCATGTCATTAAGGCTCTAGTGCCAATGCCGCACACATGTAGTGAACTACGTAGGTTGGACAACCAACAAGGATCTGAGGACAATTGATTCTGACTCATGAATGCAGGTATTTACATTTGTTCTTGACATGACATCCGAAGTACTATGAGGAGAAGATGTGGCCACATATGTCTCCGGACAATTCTAAATGATGCGCGGACCCTTCACACAACATAAAGAAAGGCAGTCGGGCAGTGTTGTAGTAGGTAAGTGTTATGAAGCGGAGCCTTTATGATCCTGGTGATCGCTCCTTCTCAGAGCTCAGCCTGTTAGTAGAGCGGGTATGATCAGTTCGCGTGCTTTTTCACCCCTGTGAGCTCACTGGAGTAGACGTTGTTGCGCCTGGGCCCATCAACTAAAGATATGCCGGCGGTTATGTCAAGAATGGAATGTAGATAAAGGAAATTTAGAGGAGTTCCTCGTTTGAGAATGATTTTGAGCTTCAATTCAATATCGTGAAAAGTTTCGTATGCGACACCAAAAAGCACAGTACGCGATAAGGAGCATACGCAGTATGTTGAGACATGGAAAAGGGTTTGGCATGTAACTCATCTGTGAAGAGAAACTGCTAAAGAGAACGTCAAAAACGCCTCTAAATGAGGTCCCTCCAGACTTGAACAATTGTTCTGGCAAGAGGCCAGAAAACCGCGTGCTGGGACAAATCCCATCCGGCAATGGACCCTGTGACTCCGCACGAGACTGTGGATCATCCCCTTCATGCCACTTTCCGGTAGCATCGCTTTTGGCTGAAAGGCGGACGTTGAAGGCGGATTCTGGAGGTGGAGTCTCTCAAAAAGGGAGGTGTCACTGGAGCAACTTTGGGCTTTACTTCTTTCCGTTCCAACCTGTGAAACTGGCAGAATGTTGTCCATTGCGAACCACACTACCCTTCCCATAAAATCTTATGCATTTTTTAGGTCGTCGCGGACCTTTCCTTCAAATCCCTCCAATCGATGCTCGGACCAATTTTCTTCGCCCTTCTGGGGCAACTCTACCACATTTATACCATTATGTCAGTGTGTTATCCTCTACTGGCGCTAGCTCGTTCCTGTGCCGGTGAGACGTTCGGCAGCAAGTAGATGTCGGAAGTGCGCAACGTGGGCACGCACCGAACAATCCCACCACTAAATCGCACATTTTCGAATAAACGGATTGTATTGGAGATGGAATAAATTTCTAATTCGCTGTAAAATGACATAACAAAAAAACATTTATTCGAGAAACAATTAATTAACAATGAGTGATTAGTCTTGCTGAATTCAAGATATAACATTTTTAACTAATTATCCCTTCTTTGATTCTGGCCCCTAATGTGATTGATGGTGTTGGAAAATCGGTCCCGGCATTGTAGGTGAACGGTTTACCTTCCTTGCGCACATCAGAGTACACTGGCAAGTGAGCAGCTTTTCCCGTTGGAGTTACTGAAGCTGGTCTACGTGCTGGTCCAGGACCACTAATAGGCGAAGGTCTTGCACCTTGTGCACCAGAGAAAGATGACGACCGAGCAGTTTTGAGCACTGGAGTCAAAGGATAATGGCCTAGGGGCAGCTGCAGAGCCACCAGTAAGTGAAGGTCCTTGGCACGGGTGCCAGGCTTTGAGTAGGAGTGGCGACCTGGCAGTCCTACTTCGCGGAGTCAACGACGATGGCCTGGTTGCTGCTGCAAAGCTATTAGTAGATGAAGGTCTGGCACCTTGTGCACCAGAGTACGATGACGGCCTGAAAACTCTACCTTGCGGAGTCAAGGATTGGTGGCCTAGATGCCGCTGTAAAGCCACTAGTAGGTGCAAGTCTTGCACCTTGTGCAGAGAATGATGGCGATCTGGCAGTCCTACTTGGCGGAGTCAACGATGATGGCCTAGCTACTGCTGTATGGGCTTTACTAGTTAGGCTGAAGTTCTTGCTGCCTTGTGCCACGCTGGGGAGTGGGGATGGCGTTCTGGCAGTCCTACTTGGCGGAGTCATCGATGATGGCCTAGGTGCTGCTGTGGCGCTAGCAGTAGGTGAAAGTCTTGCTCCTTGTGCACCTGAATACGCTGGCGATCTGGCGGTTCTTCGCACTGGAGTCAATGATGACGGTCTTAATGATGGTTTAGGGCGACCGCTAGGTAAAGGTTTCGCATCCAGTGTACGATCAGGGGATGACGGAGATCTAGCGGTCACCGGAGTCGACGATGACGGCTTGAAAACTGGTCTAGGACCAATAGTAGATGACCATCTAGCATCTTGTTGTTGACCAAAAAGTATTTCCGGTTCGTCGCTTGCATCAGAGCCGAAAATGTCATGTATCCCAGTTTTAGAGCGCTTTTCTTCTAGAGAATGTGCTGACTGTTGAGTGGCCTCAACAAAGTTACCTAGGTTTATGTCCTTTGATGATTGGAATAATGGCACGCTTTAAAGAGCTCAGTTTCGTCTTTCTGGGTCCCGACAACGATTCACTGGCTTCGAAGGTGCGATTGCTCCTTGTGTCAAAGGAATCCACCAGTTCCGAACTTTTAAGCTGGCTGAGACTGCGTTCCGACCGACTCCCTTTTGTCGTCAATGATTGCTCCACTGAACTTTCTTCTGTTTTTAAAGTAGGAGAGCTCTTGGCAGATTGTGACGGGGGTTGAGAGTCCTCGAGCTCTGTTTTTAAAGTAGGAGAGCTCTTGGCAGATTGTGACTGGGGTTGAGAGTCCTCGAGCGATGGAACAGGATCTGGTGAGCTGAGTTTGGGTTCAGTTGACTGTGGAGGTGGTCGTAAAGCCACGATGGAGGGCCTACGGGCTTGTGAAATGGGTTTGGTAGCTGACGAAAGTTCAGCGGATTTTGAAACTTTCTCTTGCGACTTGGAAATCTGTGTTTTCGACATCTTAGCCGCAAGTGCTTCCTTCGACTTGTTTACAACACTTTCTGATGACGTAGACGTGTTCTCCTTAGATTTCTGAAAAGACGCAATAATCAGGTGTAAATTTCGAAACGCTACTTTTTTTCAAAGTTTACGGCTAACACAAGACTTTGGAGTACTTTCTTTCCTACTACATCGTCCAGCGTACCGAGTTGGACTGAAATAGCTTGCTCCCTTCACTCAACCCTATCAGAAAGCGTTCATGATTCGCGACGACGCGCTTCGATGCGCTGTAACGCGCTGCGACGCGCTGTTATTACAACAGCGCTCAAATGCTATCGAGGGCCGCAGGCGTGAATTGACTGGCAACGATCGCTACTGCTTTGAGAGAGTATAGAACAGCGAGACGGTGCCAGACTGTGTGATCAGGCAACGTGTACCCTTCCTATTTCCCTTACGAAATAGAATAAGCGTTTAAAGTTTCTCAATGGCAATGAGAAGAATCCATCCGCTTACCACATTCTCCTTCTTGGATATCTCACTAGTTTCTGCAATATCCTGAAAATTAAAAATGTCTCAATTCAGGAGTGAGCACTGACTTGGGATAATCAATTTTAGAGATGGGATAATCAATTTATAATTTGGAGCTTTAGCTTATTTGAAGGGGCGACTAACAACCGTGGCGGGGTGTTGTGTAAGGTTGTAAACTCTCTCAAAAGGTTTATAAACAGTACGAATTCACTCTCACGCACATTTTCAGTTGTTTTTTAAGCTGGATTGGCGTTCTAGTGGGCGAATCGATCAGGGGTTTGAAATGCTTCGCTAGCAGATGTCATGATGTGTTAGCGATAAGTTCATAGTAGCGGGTCAAGGAGAAGCACCCCCTCCGTAGAAGTTTTTAGGTAGCAGGGGTAGAGTAGTTGACTTGCTCATGGAGAAAAAAGGAGAGGTAGCCGTCAAAACGCTCGAAAGAAGGACTCGGTTGTGGGCTGTGGGGGTTCAGCCACAATGCAAGCAGTAACTTACGTCGACGTTCTCAACAGCAGAGCCGATGACGACGAGTTCGTTGAGCGCTGGATCCAATCTGATGCTTCTCAGGCTTCTCGATGACTCCGCTTCCAAAGCGTGTTTCTGAATAGTAAGCTGAATAAGAATGCAGAGAGTGGACGAAAATCCAGAATCTTCGTGGAAATCTAGTATCGCAGTAGCGGCGTTAGGACGTGTAGTGGCCCACGCGCGGAGTTTCTACCTTTGAGGACGGTATTGGCAGGAACCGCAGGTGGGCTCGCTCCGCGCCTCCTGACAGCACCGCCCAGACCGCGATGATATTACAGGTACTAGGTATATTGCGTTATAAACTCAATATGGGGCAGTTTAGCGACGGGGGGGGGGCATTTCGCATTTTTGCGGCTTCCCATTCGACGTGTCGAACCATCTAGAGAGCTATTTCATGAGCTCACAAGAGTTGACAGGTTTTACCATGGCGGCTTGTACCGAAAGTGGTTAAGCGAAAGTGCAAAATGCCGGGGAGGCAAGAGAGTGGTAGTTTGCCGCCTCGCCGCGCGCGACCAAGGACGCGGCGTTTTCTGAATTCGGGGTAGGCCTGTTGACTGGAGCACCGGATTTCACTGGGCTGCGAAACTGTAGACATTCATGACTATTTTCGGTTCTATTGTCTCTGTCTCATGTCTGTCTCATCTACGACCTGAAACCATCGTCAATTGTCGCCGTATCGCCAAACTGCGCCAGTCAAACTTATCCCTCCCAACGATCATTCATCACTGCAACCAACCGCCGTCAGCAATCCTACCGGAAGGGTAGCTCTATATCCCTCCAAGCGCAGAAGAAAGTAAAAAAAAGGTAGAAAAAATGCTCCCTAACAGCTTTTTCGCTTGGGCTAATTTTAGCGCGCCTACTATAATACTAGCACACGACACAAACTGAGCCTAAGGCAGCGTTCAGATTTCGCGACGGCAGCGATTCGGTCCCACGTCCGCCGCAATCGATGCCCATGCTTTCACTGCGTCGACCGCGTCAAACGCGCGA